TTTGTTGCCTTGTGTGTCACTGCAGGAGTCAGATGAAAGACACAGAGGAGGATTATACCCTTTTGCTGCCAATACATGGTGTCAGCACAGGATCAAACAGCAGGTGGGAAGTGAGCAAAAAGACACACAAAAAAGACAGCAAACACAAAATGTCAACAAATCGAGGAATATCACCCAGTTTGTCTATCACACTGTGAAGCCACACACAAAAATGAGGAGGGGGGCTTTCAAGGCCTGCAGCAGCTGACAGGGGGAGAAGAAGTGAATAGAGTGAGAGAGAGAGAAAAAAAGATAGGAGTCAAAGCAGAGAAGTCGGCCTTTTGACAATGGACGGGTAGGAAAAAAAGAAGGCAGGGTGTTGGAGGAAGCTCCTCTGACCGAAACCCATCTCCAGCTGTCACAAATCATTTCTGCTCGGGAAGTGAGGGGAGGCGAAATGTCAAAATATTTGAATAAATTCCACAGAAGCCTGTTGAGAGCTGGGCGGCGCGGTGAGAGGGGTATTGTTAGCGCCAATGGGCTGGAGAGGGGATGAGAGAGGGTTCAGGGAATAAAAAGAGATGTTGGGGTGTAGGGGGGTGAGGGATGTGGGGGCGTTTAGGGGTAGGAGGTGACAGTCGCATGTCAAATAGCCTTCATGGGCCTCTGGAGGGACACGAGGTAAATGGAAATCAAAAGGTTTGGCCGCTGCACTGATATTTTTGGCACACCTTAAACAATGTCGTCCCTCTGCTGAGATCACTGATAAGTAATACTGAAAAGACACACAGAGAGATATGCAGATGTGTTTTGTCTCTGCATACTTGACTCCATATCACAGACAACAGTTTGTCGACAAATTATTTTATAGGAATAACAGCATTTTTGCATTTATACTTCAGTTAAAGGTAAAAAACTGGAATATAATAAATACAAAATATTTCAATATTTTACTAACTAATAGAAATATATTAAAAGAATATAGGCTGTTTCATCATCTATAGCAGATCCTTTTAAAAATGTAATATAGTTACTATAGTGTCAGTGGTATTTAAGGGACAACTACAGTCTTTTATAAATAAAACTAAATCTTTATCAACCTCACGCTGTAACCATGCGCTGTGTGAACATGAGGTCTGAAGTTATACCAGCACATTATGAACTCAAACTTGGTCTTGATCCCCTCGAGCCACCCCACCCCCCACCTCCCTATTAATATTTAACATAGAAGGTGAACAGTAAATTAAAGACAGGCTCTGATAATCAAGGTCTGATGATGATGTTGTTTGTTTAAAGTGTCTGGAAGCATGTTCTGTATCAGTCCATGTGCATCGACTGCCTTTGTTTGAATGTTTTTGAATCTTCCCTGTGGTGCATTACAAGTCACAGGGTCAGCGTCTCCCCTGTTTGCCTCCGAACCAACCAGCACTATTTAATTAGGCAGCTAATCAGCCGCTAAATACACAATAAAATCAGACAATCTGTACCCGTTTACCCACCCACATCCACCCACACGCACACAAAACATATTTGCATGTATTCCTGGTAAATAAGAAAATAATAAATGAAAAAAAAAACATTATCAGTAGGAAAGATCAAGGTCATGACTTTTCTTCACACTTGATTCCCTGAAACCAATTAAACTGCTGGTTGGTGAAGTTCACTTGGAGGGCACAGAGTGGAAAACAATAGCAGATGACAGCTTCCCTCTGCTATCTCTGACCGGGGGTTTCTTGCATAATTATTTGAGCAGATTCCTTCATTATGACTAAAAGTCTGTGGATGTTTTTCAGTTGAAAATTTAAAAAAAAAGTTAATTAAATTATTTTTATGAGCTCCTGGTAGAAGAATACCAGATGTCAGCGACACAGAGGTAGACTCCATATACGTATTTCAGTGCATTATATACATTTTATTTACAGTGCAAAAGTTAATATTTTTAAAATAAAGTATACAGAAATGTTAAGGTTGGTTGATCATCATCTGCCCTCCAGACTGTGTTTTTACATTTAGAACGTGAAGAGTGCTCTGCCCCATGTTTAATAATAATTAACACTATATTGCTTGCTGTTATTAAAAATCTATAACTCTAACATGCTAATTTTTGGGTACAAAAAGGCATTTCTGACATACATTGTGTAGCATCCTGATAATCACACCTGACACCATGTTATTATTTGTGGTTGGGTATGAGGAGTGACAAACTCCTGGTGATCTGCGACGCTTTCATCATCCAACCACACAAGGTGAAAAAGCATGAAAATAAAAGCAGAGGGCAGGATTAGTGCATATAAACAGATTTTGTCAATGACACTGTAATATGACCGAGGGCATGATGTTTCATCCTCTAAAGTGCACTGTTTAGCACCAAAAGGATTTTATTTCTCATTATTTTATCCTTACTAACTACCACCGAAATACAACGTATCAAACCGACATATGGCTGTGCTGTGATACACCGTCAGTTATATGAAATGCTTTCAGCCACTGTCACTTTACATTCTAACTGCCTATTCAGTTTTTACACTACTGACAGGCCTAAATGCATAAAACATGTCGTACTGTCCAATATATTTAAATGTATGTGAATAACAAATGTCCTGCCACCTGGTTGTCATGTTTGTAATAGCTGTGACCACAAGCCTGTCCGAGGTAAATTATACCGTACTTTATAAATGTATTTATAAATCACAAGTTTCTGCAAGCCCTCTGTCTGTACTTGGTCCCACTGTGTATAATCCCAGACAATATCCTACAATGTCCGGACGTAAGTGCAAGTGCATTAAGAGATAAAAGAGAATATAAGAGATATTAAGAGAATAAGAGGTTAGCCGCAGAGCAAAGCTGCCTATCACTGTCCTAGTTCAATCAGAGACAGACGTGAATGGATATTTTCAGATCTTCATGCAACACAATCTGACTTTAGCCCAGCTGTGAAAAAGTCACACATGTGCTGTTCCATACAAGCAATTAACAACTCTTCTACCTCGATGCAAAAAAAAAACTAGAGGAGTCAAGCTTGTTATTTTACTGGCTTTTGACAGCTTGAGTGTAGCAGTGGACAAAGTGAGCGTGTGTATGTGCAGAACAGTGTTTGCACACACATGTCTGTGCCGTTTTTATGTGTCCATCCCTATTTGCATTTGTGTGTGCTTGACCAAGTGCATATGTATGTGTGGCACAGTGGACCAGAACAGAGCACTGACAGTAGCAGGACTCCTGCTCGCTGATGCCTGCCTGCAGAAGCTGACAGCGGCCCTGACTGTCAATCAGTGTCTGCACACTTGCCATCTATTCACATCATCCAATCTTGTTAACTTCAAATCCAGCTTTGCATGTGTGTGTGTGTGTGTGTGTGTGTGTGTGAGGGTGAGAGCGAGTCTGAGTGTGTTGTTGTGCTGTGTATTATTCTTTTCTTTAATTTGTTGCTGTCACTGTCCCTGATCTCAGCTCTCTGTTTCAGAAATAATTTAGGGACCACAGCTTTTTTTCATTTGCTGTGTGCATTGATGAAAACCGAATGTAAAAGTTTTCAGCATGTTCCAGTTTTGACATAAGTTTCATGAGTGTCTATGTATCTATGTCGTAATGCTGTAATGACCTCAGAAAAAACAAGTCAAAAATGATTCTTCTTCAATTAATGCTGTGACCAAAGTACAGCAACCATGTATCTCATGTCAAAACTAACCCCTCCTTACATCTGTAACAGGCCAAACATTTCTACTGGGAGAAAGAGAGTAAAAGCCCCAGTTGTCAAAGGTAATTATCTCCTTTTTCACCTTCAGTGAATGTCTGCTAAAGACAACTGGACTTGTGATTGATTAGCTGTGGCTCAGACCTTTTGGATTTGACAACAGAGCCACCATTCTCTGCGGAGACAGAGAGAATGAACCAGTCATTCATCTGTGTAAATGCCAGCCAAACTGTGACTAGTGGTAAACACAAGATCAATTAAGCACTTAATTATCTAGGGAGAGTGTGCATATGTGCGCATGTGTTTCAGTGTTTATTCAAGTTAGAGATTAAGACAAATTGTGTAAAATATTTAAAACTTTCAACAGAGGTAAATTTTAAAACATGATGCAGCCAAGTAGGGATGTACTACTAAAAACCAAAACCAAAAATACTTTTTTTTTTCAGGAAATTTTGATATTGTTTTCTTTAAAAACTGTAAAATATTGTAATTATTTTTGCAAAGCCAGGCATGGTTCTGTAGCACAAGTATGCAAAGTTTTTTTGTTTTTGTTTTACAGTTTTAGACATGTTTTGACAGGTTTTATCATTATACAGTTGCTCTGTGAGTGCAACATTTTTTATTTAATCGAGTTTTTGAGCTTTCAAAAATATACAGAAATTTGAAACTTGACTGCGATCCTGTTACATTTATTGAATATTTACTACTGTTTATGACTTTTTTCCATCTGAAATTTCTGAAGATTTCAGTCCTTAGAAAAGGCAAAGAAGGAGTTGGCACCAAGGAGAAGAGCTTCATTCCCTTAGCAGAAGTATTTCACAGGTAGATAAAAGTGTAGTTTTTTCAACCTTTTGACTTATTTTTGTATATGCTTGAAAATAATATTTACTGAAATATTAATGTGCCTAAAAGGTAACCAAAGGAAAACAGGCATGCAAAGACAATAATCAGCCAACAGATAAATAAAATTAGCCCAAAACATACCAAACTCAGCTAAAAAAGGCTTTAATGCCTTAAAAAAGCTATATTTAAGTGGACAGTAAGTTTTTCAATTAGCATACAGGAAAAAACAAGAACAATATTTTAAAATATTTTACAAAACAGGTATCTTGTGTGCGTATATATGGGGTAAAAAAGTACAATCTGTAGATTTGCTATACATTCTATAAATAAGACGGATTTGTTTTTTTATTTAATAATAATCTCCAATAAAACCTGTTTAATGCGTTTCATTTTTTTAGTAGTCTGTTCAGACAGCTGACCGGATGTTGACAGTTCGTTTTACGGAAGTTAGGGTGCTTTCCGGGATGCTGCGTAATTTTTTTCCGGGTTGCTGCTTAATTTATATATATATATATATATATATTTATATGTATATGTAATTTATTTGTAAGATAATAAATTCACCATCATGTTGTTAATGCACTTCTTTTTCACGTATGTATCAATTAATGTAATATACGTTTTTTTCCGTCTCTGTTGTTTAGAAAATGATACATATCTAAACAAAAGTGTACATTCGTGGGATTTTAACGAGCTTTACAATATCACTACGTACTTAAAACTAATTTCGTATGACAGACGTATAATAAAAAAATATATACGAATCAAAAATGACATCAGAAACACACTTGAATTTGTCTGTGAATTTCTTTAAAACATTATCTCTCAGATTTTCAAATATCCGACTATCTATGAAGGCAACACAGGGTAATAGCAGGACTGAGTTTTGGTTGACAACTTCCCTATAACGGGTGAAAACGAATTGATACGTAGAGCTACATTTACCGTAAGTTAAACCTCTACCAAGTATTGTTTTACGTTAAGGTGTTTAAAAGCTAACCTTTAAAGCTAACAGTTGTATAAGGCGGCTGTTACTTCGTTTGTCGGCTAGCTATGCGGCTAATGTCGCTGGTTTTATGTAAACACCAGCATTAGTAGCTTTGTTATCGCAGCAGTTAACCCTTCAAAATCGTGTTTATGTACTGTTTAGGTAACAGTGATGTATTCCATTATTTTGTACAATGTGGTCTATTTTGTACAATGTGGTCTACCAAAACATTAGCCCGCGACACATTGGAAATTCATATGAAGTTAGCATCAGTGCTAGTTTAGTATTATTGTAGTAATCAGTCCGCTGATGATTCCGGAATGTTTTTCTTCTAGGTATTACCTAGAGAAGGTATCAGAAAGAAGGTTGGCAGCTGTGATCTTGGTTGTTTACTGTAACGTTTGACGAACTCTACAGGCAACAGAGTCAGTTTGATGTGATAAACATGTATCATCTTGCTTTGTCACGTTACCTCTGTTGTGTCACACTTTTGCTAACTATTCTAACATTGCACTTATAAATGTTGTCATTCAACATGACTCTTCAAATTAAAAAAATGCACTCCTAGCATTTTAATATTTATTATAATATTAATATTAATTTTATATTTATTTGTTTAGCATTTTAATTCCATATTTCTTATGCATTTGTTTCAATGTAGTTATAAAATGTAGGTCTTTTGTTTTTGCGTTTGCCCCTTGAATTCATTCTTATGCATTTGTTTCAATGTAGTTAGTATACAAAACAAGGCCAAAATGTTTTCCGTAAACAAACATTTCTCCGTACTTGTGTGGGTGTAAAACAATAACTCATTTATCGTTTAAATTAATAATTACATGGACAAGGAAATCACATCAACAGGAAACTGCTCTTTCAGATACTTTATTTTACTTTGTAAAAATTTGTGCAGAACATAAAAGCAAACACATCATACACTGTTGTTAACATTGGCAATATGTCTTGTTTTAATAAAAACAAGTTTAAAATGCATTTATAATTATTAATTAAGTACAGTATCTTAGCAGTATTGAGTAAAACACTGGATTAAAAAAAAAGCTAGTAAATCTTGTATTTGTGCTGTTTATAGTGTTTATCTGCTGTTTTCATTCTTTCTTTGTTATTCTCTCCTTAAAACTCTAAGGTCATGGATTCAGCCCGATCTCTTATCTGTCCATTGTTCACAACCAGGTACCCCCGCCCAGTAGTTTCCCAGTTTCTCTTTTAATCCCCATCCGCTCCAGAGTTCCCTATGTTAACTCTGTTGAGCATGTTTTACTATATCTGCCTGCGGCGACGCTCCAGAAGTGGGACTCGAGGAGAGGCTCTGACCAGTCGACGTGCCGTGGAGTCCGGCCAGCGGGCGGTGTTGCCGGTCAGTGTGGAAGTGGAGCAGTATGCAAAAGAGGTTCTGGACTTCAGCTCCCACTATGGGAGTGAAAACAGCATGTCCTACACCATGTGGAACTTGGCTGGAGTACCCAACGTTTACCCCAGCTCAGGAGACTTTACTCAGGCAGCTGTGTTCAGAGCTTATGGGAAATGGTGGGAACAGTGTGCCAGTGCTCCTCCACCTTTCCGCCGCACACCAAAAGACTTTCACAGTCAGGATTACATTGAGCTTGGTTTTGAGGAACCTGTGTATCCCACAGCAGTGGAGGTGCTTGAAACTTATTACCCAGGAGCCATTGTTCAGATTTTGGCCTGCTCTCATAATCACTTTTCACAGAACCCACCCACTGATGTTAGGTAACAACAGTTATATGTTGCATAAAAAATCCTTATTCGTAAATATAATATTAGTTGCAGCCTTTGGTACAAATGAATGTGTGTATTTCTTCTGTCTAGGTGGGAGGTGCTATGGTCAGGAGAGCCCACAAAGATGCTGACACCTCAGGCACGCCAGTTTTCTCCCAGCATTAAACTCATCAGCTTTCCCACCAACCTGCTACGACTGGAGGTCAACAGCTCTTTGTTGGATTACTACACTGAGTTGGACGCTGTTATTCTCCATGGAGTGAAACACAGACCGTTGCCAGCTCTTTATAAGCTGCATGTCATTGACATTAATGATGTTAGTGATGGTGAGGAGGAGCTGCCTGACGTGGGTGGTGGTTTCAGGCAAGGTGGAGATGGAAAAAACCAGAGGACTGGAAACGGCTACTTTGACAAGCTGCCATATGAGGTAATGGCAGAACAAAATGAGTCACTTAGAGCTGAGAAGAAAAACAACAATTTTTAATCATAATCATTAATTTAATCATAAAGACCAAATATTTTAAAGCCAGATTCTCAGAATATAAAATTCAATGTATGATTCTGAATTATCTGTTAAAGTCACTGTACTGAAATTTTTATTATATACTAATCTACTTTATATACTTCTATATTCTCAGGGAGTATTCTGACCTAAATAATTTTTATTGAAATAAGAACTTAGTTGTAAAGCACTGGGAAAACAAGTGCAAACTGATGTTTGAAAAACTAATGTTTCATATTGTGTAGCTCTTTTGATAATATTTTGGATGGTTTGAATGGTAGGTACAGAATAGCATTGTTTAAATATTGTTTTGAATGTTATTCCCACTTTGAGAAACATGCTCTTTTACATAGGAAATGCTAATTAGAAATCTGTCAAATCTGAAACCAATTTCACACCGTTAAGTGAATTAAGTTATTATTTGTCATTGTGACACAGCACACCACTGCACACAATGAATTGTGACCTCTGTGTTTAACCCCTCACCAAAGTGAGCAGGGGTCAGCTTAAGTGCTCGGGGGGGGGGGGGGGGGGTACCTCAGTGTACCTCAGTGGTAACTTGGCAGCTGGTGAACTCGAACATGAGATCTCTTTAGTCACCAAAAACTGACTCTCAGTTATCTCCTAGTTGATCAGTATTGAGTTAGATTTAAACATGTCAGGAATATTGCATAGTGAATCAGAATCCAGTGGCTTCAAGAATCCTAGTCAAACCTGGCTCTAATGAAGGCTGTGTTCTCAAAACATTAACAGATGAAGCCATTGTGTTACTTGATCTCAAATCCTCTCATGGACACGGAGTCATTTTCATGCCATGCAGATGCATAATGTCGTCTGAGGCGAGCTTCAAAACACTGTCAGTGTTCTTCATATTCCCTCTCTTATCTTGGCTCCAAACCACTGCCATTAGCAGCAGTCTTCACAAACCGCTCCGTGTTTGTTACAGAAAGACAATACAGCTATTATCTGTCACCTGATATCTCCCCAACACTGTGCATTGTTAATACACAGCAACACACACATACACACGTGTGAGCGCACTCATTCTTTCTCTTTGAGAGGCACACGAACAAAGTGCAAAAACAAACTGGCTCACCCTGCCACTGATCCTGTTATCAGTGCGTTGTGTCCCAGATAATAACCGTTTAGATCTGCCTGCCAGAGGGGGCACGATTAACATTCTTTACTCTGCTCTGTTCTTTACAAGGTCCCACTACTCTTCAGTGTTCTCTGATAATGTTTTGTCTTCTGCAGCCCTCTCCTAGAGTCACACCATCTTTAGCTGTCTTCTTTTTCTCTGCTGCCCTTGTTTCCTACTTTCCAAATCTTCACCTTCTCTCTCTCCTTTCTGTTCCTAACCTTTCTGCCCTTCTTCCATCCTCAGCTCATCCAGCTGATACTGAGCCACCTGACCCTGCCAGACCTCTGCCGTCTGGCCCAGAGCTGTAAGTTGCTGCACCAGCATTGCTGTGACCCTCTGCAGTACACCCAGCTGAGTCTGCAGCCTTACTGGGCCCGGCTGAGTGATGCCTCTCTGGGACACCTGCAGAGTCGCTGCACCCTCCTCCAGAGGCTCAACCTGTCCTGGACCGGCAACCGTGGTGCCCTCACCTCTACTGGTTTCAGCAGGTTAGACTGTCAGCAGCTAGGGCTCAAAGTGACATGACATTGTAAAAGTAGCTGTAACGTAGAAGCAGAGGGGCATACTGAGACAAAAGAAACTATTTTTAGTTTGTTTGGATTCACTTGAATCCTTCCACTGATTTCTCTCCACCTGTCATTCCAGTTTCATCAAGGCTTGTGGTCATAACTTGATGTGTTTAGAGCTGTCATGCTGTCATTTCCTGAATGAAGCCTGTCTGGAGGTCATCTCCCAGACTTGTCCAGAGCTGCAGGAGCTCAACCTGTCCTCCTGCGACCGCTTACATTCACAGGCTTTCACTCACATCTCTAAAATAACCCGCCTCCGCCGACTTGTGCTCTACCGGACCAAGATAGAGGTAGGCCTGCGTGAGAATGGTCTAGCACAGTGGTTCTCAAACTTTTTATACTCACCACTTGAGAAACCATTGAGCTCTCTATGTACCACCATGATGACCAACATTAGAATTCCCCTGCTCGTTCCACGATCAACTTGCAAGTGATCCCATGATTCCGTGCTGCCTGTGCTTACGTTAGCAACAGACTTGCATTGCAGCAAAAAAACAATTAAATAAATCAAATGACCAGACATCCTATTTCATAATCTCACAAGTAGCTACACATTTTTTCTAAATGTTGTATTAATTGTGCATGGTTTGTTTCAGATTTATTTAATTGAATGAGAATGTGAAAATATGAATTTTCCCAGCGTACCACTAGAGAGCACAATTTGAGAACCACTGGTCTAGCATATGAGTCCTGTTCTGAAAAAGAGTTCAGTTGTTTTGTATATTTGTCTTTCCTTCACATTCGACTGTGTGTGAAGTCTGTGTGTGAAAACTGATAAAAACTTTAATACATTTTAATGCATGGGCAAAAGGATGCACACTGTGTATTCAATATTTCGACCGTCCATTTACGTCTTTCTCTCCAATACACAGTCAGTACGCACGTTATCATCTGCACAAACCGCGGCAGCTAAAAATAGACCAGTGCAGCCTCACTGAGCGAAGTGCAGTAAGTAAGTCTACGACTGACAAACTGACAGACACAGTTGTCAAATAGATTTTGAGGTGTTGTACAGAGATTGATTCTCTCTAACTCTAAAAAGGTTTTTGTCATAATTAGTAATGTGGAGGTATCTATTAATTAATAGTATAATTTTATAGTGATTAATCCATAGTCATGTGATTAAAAATTTCATTTTATTTACAGTTTTTACTTACCAAGGAGGGAAGGAAAAATGAATAAATAAACTGATATTGTGTTGTGGTTTAGAATGAACTAGGTCAACTCTGAGCTCAGGCAGTGTGAAGACAGACAGTGACGCTCCAAGTGTTCAGGTTGGAGCTTGTCTGTCATGTCGTGGTGTTACACCTCAGAGTTTTTCCAGGCTCTGTTATCTTTCAGCATGTTGTTGTGGGCAAGAGGTAAAGAGTAGAGTTTCTGTGGTGGAGCCAGACGACACGCCGCAGGTTGTTTATACCCAGGCAGACAGACAGTGAGTTGTGTGTCTCTTTTTAGCCTCGACACATCAACTGTCATTACGCCATGACTGTTCTAATTAAATGGCTCAGTCAGCACACAGAGACATTTACAGTGATGCCAGGGAGACACACACATACGCACGAGTGGCTTCTTTCATGTCTGACACTTTCTCCTGCCACTGAGGTTTCACATGTTGACAGTTGGAGTGTTGAAATCCCATGTCTCAATCCCAGTTGTAAGAAAGACTCTGGCCTTACTGTGCTGACACTGACAGAAAAGTTATCACTTAGAAAGATCCCTAGTTTGTTCTGATGCTGCTGTTTATGCACTAGGTTCTGACTGCGACTGGTAGAGGCAGAATAAAGGATGTTTTGTTCAATGTGTGTTCTAGCTGTGACTTTCTCCCTTTTTTTTATCATCATCTCTTCAGCAAACAGCAATTCTGAGCATCCTGACCTTCTGCATTGAGCTGAGACACCTGAACCTCGGAAGCTGTGTCATGGTGAGTCACTCTGAACCTGGGTGTGAACCGGGTCTCAGCTGCAATGAGTTTTCACATAAACACCTTTCTGTAATGGTGAGATAATATCCATTCACTGCTAACTCAGACAGCATTTGTACCTGATGTCATTTTTGTAAGTACGGCGCCTCCATGTGTTGTTTGCCTGTTAAATTACATTTGCTTTCATCTTTTTATGCAATTTTAAAACATAGCCAACATTACCTGGTGCCAAAAACAAGCAACATCCCACAGACATAGATCATTTCTTAGAAAAAGTTATTATTATTTTCTTTTTTGATGTTGACAGTGATGATTATAATGATAATGATGGTTTTCTCAGTTCTGCTCTAAGAAAGCTGGGGTTATGTAAGAGTAGTCGGTGCGTTCACTCAGTCATTGGCTCTGTTTTATGACCACGATTCAAAGAGTTTGTTCAGAGATAGTTGGTCTAATACTGACCCACTCATTACCCTGTTCCCTCTCAGTGCACAAGAACATTATTTTATAGCATCTATAGAAGCAGAAACTAAAGAAAAGGAAACCATCTCCATCTGCCTCTTAATCAAAGACATATGGAAAAATGAATTAATCACTTTCTCTAATTGCTTTTTTTTCTTTCTATTTTTCTTAAAAATCTTTTCAATTAAAAAAACTTTTCAATTAGAGATTAGCTGCCTTTTCAGAAACTTTACCTCATTACTATTAATGCATCTGCCTTTTATTGTAGATCAAGTTGAGTTTGATTTTCATGTTTTTTTGTGTGCAGTATTTCCATTGCAGTACGCTTCAGACTATTTGGACCATACAGTATGTTCTTAATTTATTTTGTGATTATACTTCACTTTTTTTACTTTCGACAGCTCTGTGCTGTTGTGAGGCTCTTGAACACTGAAGAGAACGTAAACAGAGAATGTTAACTTACGGCTGATTCTCTGTCCCACAGATTGAGGACTATGATGTTGTGGCCAGTATGTTAGCTGCCCGCTGTCGCTCCCTCTGCTCACTGGATCTGTGGCGCTGCAGAAACCTGACGGACAGAGGCCTTGCTGAGCTCGTCACTGGTTGCAGGTTAATGTTTTCTTTAATTACAGGCTTGTTTGATTTTTATGCTGTAAACCAGGCAGTTCACTTAAGAGTGACACATAATGTGATCATGTTGAGAAGTGTAAGTCTCCATCTTTGCACTGGGTCCGATCAGAATGTTGGAGGAGTTGGACCTAGGCTGGTGCCCAACGTTACAGAGCAACACTGGATGTTTCCAGCACCTGGCTCGCAGCCTGCCATACCTGCGCAAACTTTTCCTCACCGCTAACCGCACTGTCTGTGACTCAGACATAGATGAACTGGCTGCAAACTGTCCCTCCCTGCAGCATCTGGACATACTGGGTAAGCATTCATCAACCTCACATGATGTATTCACTTATTTAGTAGAGTGTAAAAAAATATAATAAATATTAAATTGTATATAAAAAAAAACTCAGTTTAACGACACAATGAGGCATTTACACTGCACTAAATCACTTTCACAACTTTTTTTGTTAATAGTTACTGAAACAACATAGTGTGTGTTAAGTTCACAAATAAAAATACTTGCATTGGTATTGGTTTGTTAAAAAAAGTGAATAATAATCATTTGTTATTTGCTGATTTGTCAGGTTAAGCTGGGCGTGGTCACAATTTTAAACCTAAGATGTTTTTCTATGACATTTATTATTACAACATCTTTACACCAGGATTGATTCCTGAAAGTGTAAACATGTTATTATGCTGATTACACACAGTGGTGGCCTATATTAAGGTTAAAGTCAAAAGCTTATCATGAAGTTTCAATTTTGATGATAGTAAATATTAAGATCAAAGATTGCTGCAGTTATGTATTTATTAAAATTTTCACTTATTTTTCTTCAACAATGTTTATGTAAAACGTCTCCCAAAATTATAGCTCTGTAAATGTAAAATACAACATGAGTGACATGTTGTATTAAATATGCTTATTTAATCCAGTCTCACAGATTTTTATATTAGCATATGCAGGGTATTTTCACCTGCACTGGTTCTGTACGATCATTATTTCATCTTCAAGTGTATATTTGAAAATCACTTCTAAATTTGCATTTAAATTCCTGTCTCACACTTCTTCATTCAGATTCAAATAAAATATTGCACACTTGGCAAATATGCAGCAGCAGTTCCTACACTAATAATTTATTTAATTTTCACCATATGTTGCCAAGTGTGAGAACACAACACTATTAGAATGTCTTCAGTTTTCATGATGAATTTGCACTACTGTATTTTCTTTTTGTTTCTGTTCCTTTCCTAATGTCTTCATTTGGTTCCTACAGCTGTACTGACTTAATCCTCTCATATTCTCTGCTTATGTTCCCTGTGTCCCTCGTGCCTCGTCCAACTGACAGGAACACGACTGGTGAGTGCCGCCTCGCTGAAGCAGCTCCTTCAGTCGTGTCCTCGGCTTCTTCTCCTCGACGTCTCCTTCTGCTGCCAAATAGACACAAGGGTCGTCCAGGAGCTCAGTGGCCTCTTCCCCAATGCTTCCATCAAGAAAAGTTTCACTCAGTGACACACCACTCTCCCCCATCCCCCTGGCAGCACTGTCCAGATGCAGTGAGAGATGGAAGGTGCTCTTGCAGCACACACTTGTTTACCTGGAGTAAACAAGTACAAAAGGTTCAGATGTGATTCTGAAACGGTTGGTTAAAACCCACCTGCTCAGTGCTCAGTAGAGGAAGCAGTTTACATTGAAGGACGAGCTTGTACCGATAGAACAGGCGATGAGAACAGAAGAACAGAAGTTTGTTTAAAAACTATAGACGGCTTTTGGGACTACTTGAATCTCAGATGATTGCGGTGAAGATCCAAGAGTGAAATCACAGTGATCAAAGCTAATGCTCCAGCTGGTGTTTTCTCCATTACATCCCTAATATGACAGAACAATGTCTGTCCCCCCCCCCCCACTACAGCAACGCGCAAGCACGACATGATGC